CCTGCCCAAAGGAAGAAAGCGGCAAAGCCAGGAGCCACGCACACCCCCTGGATCCCTGCTGCGCAGTTCTCCCCCGCCTGCCAAGGGCAGGGGAATGATTAAATCCCCTGCTCTTCCAGGCGAAACACAGGAGGGCCGGCTATCCTTCCTCATGCCCGTTTCCGCCCCCCCGAAAGCTCCCCAGAGCCCTTTTTCTTCCAGAGGCCGAAATTTTCGTGTAGGCTCTGTGAAATGCCAGAGCGCCCACCTGGGAATCAAAGGTGGTGCTTGTCAAAGGCAACCCCGAGGCTCCAGTTGCCTCCATCTCCCACTCACCGACCGGATTCACATAGCGCCGGTTAGCGGCTGGTCTTTCTGACCTCGGGGCCCGTGGTAGCACTGGGCCAGGCACAATTCGGGCCAGGCGAGGGACGGAGGGTTCCCACTTGGCGGACCCAGGCAGCCTCGTTGCCAGGTGTTCTTTGGAAGGAGCCCTGAGAGCGGCTGGCGAGGGGGATGGGCAGCAGCGGCGGGTGAGGCTAGTTTGCAGGGTGGCCGGGGGAGGGGGAGGTCAGAGCCAGGCTCGGGCGGGCCCCACCCAGCCCTAGAAGTGCCGGCTCGAGGGCTTCCCGGCAGGGAGCTGGCTGCCTACCTGCCGAGCCTGGTGGCAGGATATGGCCCTGGGGCGTCTCTGCCTTCCAAATGCGCAGCTTCTTGGAAGCAATATGGAGAGTTTAAATATAAGGAGCAGAAATCTGTTGACCATAATCAGGGCTGGGAGGCTGCCATGTTGGTTTTATGTTCAGCAGATGGCGCTGTTTTTCAATGTTTTTCACTGTTTTTCAATGTTTTTCAATGTCTTTCAATGTTTTCCAATGTTTTTCATGTTTTTACCTGTCACAGGTGTGACATGTATATAATATAGGTATATATAAACACGCCCGTAGTTGAGTGCAACGTTGTGTCAAAATTTGAAAGCAATCGGTGAAGAACTTTCAGAGATGTGCGGTTATGTACAAACGGACATTTACATTTTTATTTATATAGATTAGTTTTCTCTATAATTTTTCACTTATTTGGTTTAATGCACTGGCATGCCCACACCAATGCCTCTTAGAATCATACCAGAATGAGGGGCATCTACAATGGGCAAGGGCAAGAAGGCCATCTGATTAAAGTCCCAGCCCTTTGGGTCAAAGGGACAGGTCTTTGATCCATGGTCATATTCAGCCTCCTGCTCCGCTTGGTTCCCTGTTGCAAAAGGCGCTTTCTCTCCACTTCAGTTGTTCTGACTTCATTCATTTCTTCTGGTAGCATGGAAGGAGCCATGGGATAAGCTTGACTGGAGCTCACCTGAGACTATATTCACTCTGCCAAAAATGAGAGGGACTTCATCAGAATATAGTACTTGACTTCAAAGAAATCCCTACTCTCTCTTTCCAGTTTTAGAAAAAGTCAAATAATCCATTCGATGAAATTTGTCTTTTATTATTATAATAATATAATCTGGAATGTTAATATTTTTTTGAAGATCATAACACATTCTCTTTCAATTTCAGAGAAATTGGCCTGCCTATCTCACATTTACAATTTCTTATTCATCTGGGTCAGGAATTCGGCAATTGCTTTTGATTCATTTTGCATTTTTATTTTACTTATGTTGCTACCAAAATCTCTAATTCTGTGTTATTCTGTTAGAATAAAAGATACATTTGTTTTTTTCCCCTCATATTTTATACCTAAACTGCATACAAAACTACATACCTAAACTACATACAAAATACATTACTAGGAAAAACTGCATATAAAAATATATATGGATTGTTTATCAAAACAAACCCTAAGACATCCTTCCAAAAGGTTGAAGTTGTGGGGAACAAAGCAACTTGTTTTGTCCAACATTGCTATTTGTTGATGTACATTTTGGATTTGCATAAATTTCATTTTTTTCTTTTGTAATTTCCTAATCATGTTTAAATGAGATCTATATATAATGAACTATTAAACCAATAAAGCAAAAGACAGTTTGGGGAATCTTTATGGCACTTCAATAAAAAACAGATGGGAGTCCTCTGAAAGCCATTCTCCAACAAACTATAACTGTGTACCAGAATATACCAAATTTGCAGTTCTAATATTAGAAAGTGTAGGCAAGGCACTAAGTTGCTATGGAGACAGAAACCTTCAAAAGCAAAAATAGCTGGTATTTCATCAATGTGGTATTTATCTCCCAACTAGTCACTCCAGAGCATTTGCTGCTAACTTTGCATTATCACCTTCCCTGTCCCCTTCAGTTTTTCAAAGCCTGGGTAAAGTCTTTTTGGCTCCATTGTTGGCTACTTCTGAATTTAAAAGTCATGTAAGATACCATTCCTGCTCAGCAATTTAGAAGATAAAACCTAGGACCAGGCTTCCGTAGGATAAAAAAGATGTATTTTATATATTGAAAAGTTGAAGATGTTTAGGATAAGATAGACTTTTACTGTTTCCATCAATGTAATAAAAACACCTTTTCTTCTTAGGTCCAGGGACTCTCAAACAACAGATTTCTTGACTTTCTTATAGCATGGCTGACAATTGTGAGTGCTACCCAATGAGAAGACTGTACTAGAGCAGGGGTGTTAAACTGACGGCCCGTGGGCCAGATGCGTCATACGCAGGTCATACCTACTCCAGCTCTGCAAAAGGAAAAAACATCACGAAGCATGATGGGCAATTAGCCAGTAGTTTTGTATGTGTTAATTCTTTTAGTTCTAAGTTCACTTTGTTCCCTCCAGCTGTTCATTCACAGCAATTTAGAAATCATTTGGTATTTAATGTGAGATATACACATAATTTCATTTGAAACTAAATGGCATTAGAGCAGAGGGTTGGAACTGGTTCTTTTTAGGTCCTTTCTAAGTATGTTAAATAATATGGTTGGATGGGGGAAGGAGGAGTCCATAGTAGCAATGGGAAGCCTGTCTTAGGCTTTTTGAAGATTTTGAAATACTCATTGTTATGGTAGACTAAATTTGCAGTCTGTTTCCCATGAATAACACTCATTTCCTGTACTTCACCTTCACTCCATTTTTCAAATGACATTTTTAAGGGATAAAAATAACACGTTAATTATCCATTCTTCCTCCCCTTTCCTTTTATCTAGAATGCATGGGTGGAAGGAGAAAAAAATAGGAAAACAGGAAGGGCTGGATAAATCAGCTTTTGTAAAGCAAAAATGGATATATGTGCTGAGAAAGCTATTTATGTTTGATTTGCAGGAGGGAAAAGGGCGAAGGTGTGTGAATATGTGATCACTAAATAAAGCAGAAACCAGAGGTTTCTATTTATTTAGCTTCTGAAATATGAGAATAGAGCAAAACTTGCATCTCCTCTTGCCATAAGAGATGAGCAAATCCAGCCATTTTTATTCTTCTCAGTTTCTTTTGTTTGGGAATTTGTCAGTATGGCTTACTATATTTCAATTTATAAATTTGGTTGTCCCATTCCCATCCAAATGTGAGATACTTCCTCTTTTTAAATGTATGTATTTGTACACTATGAACTCAGAAAAATTGACAATATACTGTAGAGTAATTGAATTTCTAATTTATATATTGAATACAAAAATGCAATATGTTGTGTGGTGGTGTGAAATAAATTGTTCCAGGATGTAAGGTGTTTGTCTTAAACTGTCAATTGTCAATTAAATTGTCAATGCCAAGTGGTGCTCCAGGTGTTTTGAGTTTACATCCAAGGTGCCTATTGCAAACAAGACCCGGTGGGCCAGAGGTGGAGCTCTTGCCTCACAATCAGGAGGTTGTGAGTTTGATCCTAGGTAAAGGCAGATGTAGGGTCTCCTGCTTGGGCAAAGGGGATGGACTAGATGACCTGTAAGGTCCCTTCCAACTCTGTTAAATCTGTTTACTATTGGTACAATTTTTGCTTTCTTATTGCCACAGTCTTTCTAATTCTATTGTAGCTCTTTTTATTTTGTATTCTCTGCTACAGTTTCCAGGTTTTTTGTCTTTTTAATAATTGTTAAGTCTCTGGTCTTATGTGGCAGATGCTTATCTGTTTGAATTCTAAAGTCCCAAAATTAAAAAATAAATTCTTCATTTTTTATTAGTTTTCTATTGTGTGGTCCCAATTCTCTAGCCTGCAGGTAAATGCTATTTCTTGCAAATATTATTTATCATATTCAGCAATGGATGCAGATGGATGCAGATGTTCATCATATTGACCTGAACATGTCATACAGAGATAGGGCTTTGCAATACTTTGGATCTGCTATCCAAAGAGTGCTTTGAGTTGTGCAGGAATGTAAAAGAATTTTGATACCAGGAGAAGGCATAGCTGCTTTACACCGATGCTACTTCAAGCAACATCTTTAAAATAATGTGACTGAAATTATGCACGATCATTCTGCACACTAATTAGGCAGATTTGAACAGTTTTAATTTTTTGCATTCTCACTGTTGGTTCTCCTCTTTGAAAGTAGTAGAGCTACATATTTTATGCATATCTTTTTGCTAGAATTCTATCCATTTAAAAACTAAACATGCAAGACACTAATGTAAACTTATTTCTTATAGGTTGATATTCCCTGCTTGGTCATTCATAGTTACATTCTCATAAATAAATAAATATTGTTTTGCAATATTTGAATAAGCTACCGAGATTTGTATCAGGAGCAAATCGTCCAAACTATTTCTAATTTCAATAAATCTTCTCAAGCATCAGAGCTCTTTTTAAGCAGAGCACAATTGTAGGTAGAAGCCAGCTGGTATGGGAAACAATTAAAGTCTGGGCTTCTTCCTTGACTGAACTAGCTTCTTTAGATGTGGAATATAACCATATTAATTAAGGAAAATAAAATCATTTCCAGTTGGTTTTCATCTTACCACATCTGTAGTATGTCCCTTTACTAACATCTATTTTTAACTATATCGATTTGAGACAATATCTAAAGAATAGTCAAGGATTATAAGTCTAAATTTCACTGACAGTTCACGTTGGTATTCTAAATGTTTTTACTTGAGATGATGGACCACGCCCTGTCATTCTTTGGGATCCCTCCTTGACTCAGACAGACAACGAGACTCATTCTTCACTGAGACTCACCTGGGGAGACTACAGGAAGCAACTAAAGGAAAAGTGCTGGCAAAATGGTAAAGTACCCAAAGCAGAACGGGGATGTACCGATATCCATTACCATGAATGGTCCAAGATGGCACTTCTTGATTTTCTTTTACAGGTGAGAAAATTATATCCAAAGAGATGTGTTGGGAGCAGGGGTGGGTTGTACTTACCTTTACTACCGGTTCGCAACGGGGCCGCGTGCAGAAGCTCCCTGATGATGTCGGGGTTGGTGGGCAGAGCCTCCTGCCGGTTTTACTATCGGTTCTTGCAAACCGGTCCGAACTGGGGGCAACCCACCACTTGTTGAGAGTATGTCAATTGTTCAGCAACACATTTTTAAAGGAGCAAATCATTTTTTTTTATTTATGTGACCAACTCACAGTAATTCAAAACACTTGTGGTTATTACAAGAGAAATGGTAATGAGATGTAAGATTAAGTTTTAGAAGAGATGTTAAAATGGTGAACAATCTGTGGCCTAAAGTTCCATTGACCTACGAACCTTTATTTTATGGTACCACACATCTACCTCTAATTGCACTTCTGACATTTGATGGAGCTATTTCTTATTCAAAAATTGTAGGAGGTATCTGGGATGAACATTTTAGCCATTATTCAAGTTGTCTAAGTAATAGGTCAAATTATTCTATTCAGCTTTACTAATACCCTTCTGTCATGTGATTTGTTAATTAGGCTATCTCCAACTGGAATAAGTTCCAGGTGGAACTTATACCTATAAGTGTAATTGAACAGATCAATAGACTGTCTCTTTTGTGATTTGTGGCAATAGTGGCAAGTGGCAATAGTGGAGACACATGCCAACGAGTCCAGTTCTGTCCTTATGGCCTGCGGTGTTAAGAAGTAGTCCATGGAGTACGGAAAATAGCATGGCTACATAAAATCTAATAGAAAATCCATACTGCATTCATTTGAAAAATAAGCAGAAACATGTAGCTGGAAGAAACTGCTTCTTTTCCCCAGTTTAAACTGATCTTCTGTGTAGCTTAGAAAAAGTGCTTGTGTTTAAAAACTGGTCTACTACTATTTTTTTTAAAAAAAATCTAAATTGATATATGCAGTATAAGGTAATTTATGTAATGCCTGACTGATCCTTTACGAAGTCAAAAGGTGTAGAAGTGACCGGAGTATAGGGCATGTCTCTCAGTGGCCTGAAGAGGCCAATAATATTTGGGCAGACCTCAGCTTTTGAGCATATCATTCAGTGGTAGGATTCAAATTTTTTTACTATCGGTTCTGTGGGCGTGGCTTGGTGGGCGTGGCAGGGAAAGGATACTGTAAAATCTCCATTCCCACCCTACTCCAGGGGAAGGTTACTGCAAAATCTCCATTTCCTCCCGATCAGCGGGAACTCGGGAGGCAGAGAATAGATGGGGGCAGGGCCAGTCAGAGGTGGTATTTACCGGTTCTCCGAACTACTCAAATTTTCCTCTACCGGTTCTCCAGAACTGGTCAGAATCTGCTGAATATCACCTCTGATCTCTTTACAGGTAGTCCTCGATCTACTGGCAACCTTCCTGATGCCAATCCAATACTACACACTACATCACACTGGCTCTTATCTGGGCAGTGTTGATATGGATCCACTAATATAAAGTTGTGAACTGGCCAAATGGAGAAGGGTTAGGTGTGAAAAGAGTCTACAACATATTCATTTGGCTATAATGAGACAGATTAAGTGGTACTTGTCATAGCATTAATTCTGAATATAGATTACAGATAGTCCTCAATTTACAACAGTTCATTTAGTGACCGTTCGAAGTTACAGCGGCACTGAAAAAAGTGACATGACCATTTTTCACACTTACGACCATTGCAGCATCTCCATGGTCATGTGATCAAAATTCATATGCTTAGCAACTGACTCATATTTATCCCGTGTCATGGGGTTACCTTATGCGGCCTTTTGACAAGCAAAGCCAATTGAGAAGCCAGATTCACTTAACAACCATGTTACTAAAAAACTGCAGGGATTCACATAACAACTGTGACAAGAAAGGTTGTAAAATGGGGCATAATTCACTTAACAAATGTCTCTCTTAGCAGCAGAAATTTGGGGCTCAATTGGAGTCATTAAGTTGAGGGGTATCTGTATTCATATTGTTGTGCTAGCATTATAGACTGTGTCCATGAGGAAAAGAAGTGTCGGGAAAAGAGATAAATAAAACTGGGAGAGATTAATATAGATTTATGCTCCCTCTGCTGTGGCCATTATGATTAAGAGTTTCACCTTAATATTTTTTCATAGATCTGCAGTTGTGATGGTCCATGTCTATATACATTTTTTGTGGTGCCCCATAAACCTAAAAAGGAACTATTTATATGAGCCTATGATTCATGATGGTAATGAAACTTTATTCAATTTCAGATCTATCATCGCTTGGATAAGAACTGTTGTGGATTCAAACCACGCAAAGAGGATTCCTGTGTACAGAAAAGGCTAAATCGGCAATGTGATGACCAAGACAACATAGCGTTGACACACATTATTCAGAGAAAGGATGACCCAAGGCATTTGGTCTTTATACATAATAAAGGTTTCTTTGACAGAAGTGAAGATAATCTGGATTTCAAAATATTACAAGGCATTAATGAGTAAGTTCATTTTCTAGTAAAGGCATTTCAGATTTAAAATATGTTTCACACAATAGCAATAGCATTTAGACTTATATGCTGCTTAATAGTGCTTTACAGCACTCTCTGAATGGTTTACAAATGTCAGCATATTTTTCCTAACAATCTGGGTCCTCATTTTACTAATCTCAGAAAGATGGAGGGCTGAGTCAGGATTGAACTCCTGGCAATGTCAGAGTCAGCCTGCAATACTGCATTCTGACCACTGCACTGCCATGGCTCTTTCACAATTGCTTTACAATGGGGGGAGGGGAAACCACTGTTCCTGTAGCAGGGATAGTACACCATGCCATTAATCCTGACTGTGATATGGACCTGCTTGATTCCCAATATCTATTCAAATATCAGATATTCAGGATAATTAATATTCCAGCTTTCATGAAAACTTCAAGAGTTTTTAAATATATGGGAACCAGGATATAAAATCAAAGATCTGTGTAGCATTTAATGCCTGAAGAGAGATTGAGTGTCTGGAAAATTCACAGATATAAGAAGACATGGTTACCCTTGCCAGATCTTTTCCCTGAGGTGTCTCTGTGTATTCTGTTTAGTCACTGCTCTTTGCTGTCTTTGTTAACCTTCTGATGGTAAACTTTTCTACAAAGTGCTTCTTAACCTTGAGCCTATATTCATTTTACTTTATTTTTTAAAAATCAGGAACTCTTTCACCGATTTTACTATTTTACTACTGGCTTCTCATTCTCCATTAGATTTACCTGCTTTATATAGACTGCCATAAACTTGCCTCATTTATCATAATTTCACTATTACAAATGAAATAGCAATGCGGTGCTTAAATTAAATTTCATGGGTTTATTCAATTTCAGATTCCCCGAATCTGCTATTTCTGTGCTGAAAAGTCACCATTTGCGGGAAAAACTGCTTCAGTCATTGTTCCTGGACAGAATTTTTTGGGATAGCCAAGGAGGGCGTCAAGGCATTGAAAAGTTGATTGATGTTATAGAGCAGAGAGCCAAAATACTTCTCACCTACATTAATGCTCACGGAGCCAAAATATATCCAATGAATGAATGAGTCAGAAATCATTAAAGACAAACACACACTGATGAAAAAGTTCTTGATATATTTATGTTGTAATTCTATATACTTGGCTGAATACAAATTCAATGAAGTTTATGAGCTTATTTATAGATTTATTCTGACAAACATCAAATTATGTTGGGAATTAATTATCAGATTTCACATTTAAAAAATACATGTTGCTCTTAATATATATATATATATATATACACACACACGCACGCACACACACACACACACACACACACATTGCTAATGGAATCCTAAGGTGTTTTTGTTTTATAAAAGCATCCTTATCTCCAGGGTTGTATATATTCAGATAATTGTATTCGGATATTGTATTCAGCAAAGAAGACTAGTTTTGCCTATTCTTCCCTAATCTCCAGTTACCTGAAAATGATACATCGACATTGCAGGATCCTGCTGAATAGAATGAGTTTTAATAGAGGAACACGGATAATTCCTAAAAGTCCTTGAAGATTTTCCTCTGTTTGTTTGATTTTATTGGGAATAAAATAAAACAATTGGAGAGAACATTAATAACAAATATTGCAACTTTCTATTAATTTCACTGAAACTGTTTTTATGATAGTTGCAAATACTTGCTTAATTAAAATGCAAATATAGAAGGGGTTTTGCTTTTTCCCAATGAAAATAATTGTCCTCAATTTATGGTGACATTTAAATTAAGCTCTAATATTGTTTAGTAAATTCACTAAATTCTTTCTTGTAATTAGAAAAATGTTATTAAATTTATAAACATATATGTCATAAACTAAATATATATCTAATGCAAATGTTAAAATATTTCTTTGTTTGAATGTTTGGATTAGTATGTGATCATAGCAGGTATCCACAATGTTCATTAGTTGGTTCAAACTGATATATGAAATATAGCTCCACTGCTACCATACATTCCTTCTGGGCTCACATTTTCCCGTTATAGGCATATAATAGAAAAATTACCAAGCCAAAAAAAAGGCATCTTTGCATTACAGCTGTTAGAACATTGCAGTGCCAATAGAATTACTGGCAGAATTCCCCTGACATCATTTAGACTATTCTTGAGTCCTGTGCAAGCAAAATAAAAAAATTTTTTTAAAAATCTTCCTCTGCGCTTTCTTACCTTGTTCTCTGGTGGTTTCAATTTCTTTTTTTAACTGATATTATTATTAAAATAGGAAAAAGTGCCATAAAAGAACATTCTGCATATCTTTCCATAACTAAGTTCCTTTAACTAAGATTTTAGAAGCAAAGCTGCAGACCTCTGGAAAGATCTTCACACATTTGTAGTCATCCAAAATCATATATACTCACATTTTGACCAGCATTTTGTTCGTTTTGATATAAATTTTGAAATATTTTTGCATCAAATTGAATGAGAATGATAAAAGAACAAACAATTGTTTCTTGAATATATTTTGAAAGTTGTGTTTTTAGATCAAACATGACCAGAAATTTCACCAATGAAATAAAGTTTTCAGTGTGCAAAACAAAGACCATTGTAACTTTAGACTATTTAACTTGCCCCCTTGCATTCTGAAATAGTATAATTATTCTTTCCACTAATATATTCCAAGAACATTAATGAAAAACAAACCTTTTTTCCAAAAAAGTTTTTATTTTTATTTCTCATAAACATATTTACATGTACAGTACAGTACAGAAATAAAAACAAAAACTTTTTTTGAAAAAAACAAACCTATAAGGGTTCAAAATATTATTATTTGCATGGAGGTTTTATGCCAAATGTTAGTGTTATTCCATTAAAAAGTTGGAGACAAATCATCCTGAGCCCCTGCCAGCAGATTTTTGCCTTGGCTTTTTAAATTCATTATGTTAAATGAATTTTAAAAAGTGTTTATATTAGTTAAACACTTTTACAAAATAAAAGTGGCTACCAAAGAAATTTTGAAATATATTGACTGATTAGCAGTAGAATTTTCTATTATAGATGCCCATCTTATAGAGAAACAGTAGTCCTCATGACTTAATATGGTAATGTAGTCATATATGTTTGCAAATGGTTGATCCCTTTTAACTATGCATGGAATTTCACTGATTTGATGAATCAGCTGGAATGAGTGGGAACACCTACACAGAAAAGAAATTGATTGAATCAACAAGACAGCATAAAACCAACCTTTTTATACTGCTTTATCATAACATTCTGAGTATCTTCATTTGTCTTGTCCTTTTAGTATGTTAAAGTATACCAATTGCTATCTTTAATCATACACCGTCAGAAAAGTTACACTGAATGTAAATACTAAATAACTCATGTAAAAAGTATGCTCTTTCTTTCTGAAATAAAATGTTTTGTCCCCTCATCTATAAATGGAAGTCTGTGTTTCAACTATATTCTGAGCAGTTGCTGAACCAGAATAGTGTCTCTATTTATATTTATTTGTATATTTATTTCTTCTCCTTTTCCATGAATTTTTGGATGGACAAAAATACTATACTATATTAACTCCCATTATTTGAAAACAATAACACTGACTTCCACTAAAAAGAATATTCCTACGTATTCATGATGACATAAAAAGAACTTACATTTGATTCTAGAATAAGATAAGAGTGCTTATCTTATGTTCTTTGCTGAGTGAAACGTCTTGATTAGAATTTTTATTATGAGCAATTTTCTGCCAGTGGGAACTGCATCATCTGTTTAATAGCACAATCAAATTGATGGACCATCCAGTTATTAAATTTCCTATTTAGATCTCAACACCCATTTTGGTGGGCAAGAATGAAGTTGGAGCAGGCTTAGAACTACAGCATTACTGTATGTTTTCATGCTTAGTAACAACTTGAATTTATTTTAAAGCATAGACAATCTTAACTTCTTCGTTTAGCCTATCTAAAAAAAATGGTCCATCACAATTCAAGATAAAAAACGAAGAGAAGATTTAAAATTATTTGCACAATTGTGATTCTGTATTATAGGTTATAGGTTATAATTGTTCATTACACTTGTCCTAAAAATCTACTAATATGTAGAAGGAAAAGCATTATAAAATATGAACTAGAGCAGCAAATAAAATATTTTCCTGCTACCTTAAAAGTTGCTTGTTACCCATTGTTGAACAATCAATTAGCATTAGAGGTAGATCTACCACATCTACCTTTTCTCCTCAATAAAGGCCCAGAATATTCTGTCTAAAACGATTGCCTTTAAAAGCCAGTATAGTGGATTGATTAAGCTGTTTGACTAGGAATAAGAAATTGAGATTCAAGTCCATTCTCAGCCGCTGGGTGACTGTGCTAATCACTCTTTCTCAGCCTAATATATCCCAATAAGAACAGCATATTGATAAGTTATTAGGAAGTTTTTTCTTTGCCTAAATTACATTATGATGTGATGTTCCAGTGTGTGTACATTGTGTGTGTACATTTTGCCTTCTTTTTCTCAATGGAATCCAAGATTTAAAATAAAAACAAAGAACCAAACATAAGCATACTTAGAAAGTTATTATGTGACCTTCTAACATTGTGCCAAGATCATGATTCCTTTTGAAGTCAAGATTCTATTGTATTGTCAAACTAGCAATAAAGTCAAGGAGATGAGTTAAAGAAGGTGCTATGCAGTAAGGATGCTGACACTGCACAACAGTCCCAATTGTCCCCAGAATCCCCTAGAGTCCAACTTTACAAATAGAATCTTACATCAGTTACTTGTGAGAAAGAGCCTCTGAATGTCACCAGGATATCCCAAGTGACCATAGCAATTCCACTATCACTGTCCTGGGCTCTTGGTTGATGCCACACCCAATCCCAAATGGGCACAGCTTCAAAAGGGAACCCGCAACTCTCAACACCCACAAGGTCTCGGTACTGGACAGTTTTCAGTCAAAGTTCAAGCAGGGCTATCTTACCAAGATGGCAGTGGTCATGCTTGTAGATGACTTCTGAATAAGCTGGGATGATAGTTTATTTATTTATTTTATTTATTTATTTGTCAAGTACGTATTAGATAATATATATCTAATTAGTATAAGCATGAATTGAATACATAAAATGAATACAAATAAAGGGAACATTAGGACAGGGATGGTAGGCATGCTGATAAACTCCACACAAAACGGGAAAGTCATGCAGATTAAGTTTATTCTTTAGGCATTCTCAATAATTTACAATACTGCTGAGATTCATCTGAGGCTCAATTCATAATCTGATCCCATTAAACGTAGGTGAAAAGAGGTGCATCTTTCCTTATGCTGAGAGGCTGTCGTTAGGTTCCTTTGTTAGAATTCAAAATGACCGCTGGTCTGCATGGAACATTTACCCAGCAGAGCTATAACTCAGTGGCCAATCAATAATGCAGATGTGACCACATGATATTAAGACTACATTTCCCAGAGATCAATCTCTTAAGGAGATACGTTCTTAATCCAAGCTAAATATCCCTCTAGTCAGCACACTCCCACCCTGTAATTATAAAATTCCATTATTAACTAACTAATTAACTGAGGTAAACAAAAGCATAGCATAAAGCAATGCAAACTTAACTATCTAATTGACTAAGGTAAACAAAGGCATAGCATCAAACAATGCAAACAATGAGGTAGACACAAAGCATGCAAAGCTTGAGGTTCAATCTCCAAGTTTGGTCTTCCTTAGTAGCAGAACCAGATTGGTGATTGGCCTGGTGTAGAGCTTCTTGGCAGAAGTCTGCGGGTCACGGCATGATGTATCTATCTTGTCCCTTCTGGATCACTTGTCAGCTTTCAGTATGATCAACTACAATATCCTTCTGGACCAGCTTTGGGTTTGGAGTGGGAGGCACTGTTTGTAATGTTGTTCCTCTTTCCTCAGCAGTTGCTTGTGGCAGGGGGAAGGAGAGGGAAAGATTAACTAGTAAAAGAGCCTGAGTGGCACAGCAGACTAATGCTACTGTTAAAGGTAGTATTTAGCTTCCAGCTGCCTGCAATTACTGCGAGTTCAATTCTCACCAGGCTCAAGGTTGACTCAGCCTTTCATCCTTTCTAAGGTAGGTAAAATGAGGACCTGGTTTGTGGGGGCAATAAGCTGATTTTGTATAAAATATACAAAAGTATGAAGGCTATTGCTTAACGCATTGTAAGCCGCCCTGAGTCTCTGGAGAAGGGTGGCATATAAATCAAAATTAAAAAAACAAAAACAAAACCCTAGTACCCTGCAATATTGGTGCTTCAGGGAGTTGATGTCTCAATATTGTGTTTTAATATCTACATGAAATTTCTGGAAGAGGTTATTCGATGACATGGGTGCAATATCCCCAGTATATTATGATACCACCAGGCTGATCAGACAATACAATTTTAGTGCTTTTGTACCTGGAGTCTGTAAGAGGCTGGTTAGCAAGATAGAGCAACTGGATTTTTGACCACCCCTGGATCTGGTGAGGTGTCATCTTTGATTCTTGAGAGGGTAGCACTTCCTTTGAACAGAACTGGCACAGAATTTGGGGGCCTTCTGGACTCACGGATGCAGTTCAAGGAACAGGTGGCAGCTGTGGCTAGAGAGGCACTGCACTAATTCATTTTATGAACCACTTGTACCCATTCCTGAACTATGAAGCTCTGTTTACTGTCACTTATGCCTTGGTCACTTTCCAAGGTTTGATTATTGCAACATGGGCTACATGGGCTGCCCTTAATAACTAGTAGTTATAATTCTCTAAAATGTGGTAGCATGTTTAAAATTCTGGTTATCATCTTTAAAACCCTATGGTATGGGGAGAGATTATATGGAAGATTTTCTCCCTTTGAGGGTATATATTTGGCCACTAGCTCAGATAAAGTAGGGTTACTTCAGATGTCCTTTCCCTTAAATGTTGTCATCTAGGAAGTGTGCCTTCTCTGTAGCTGCCCCTATTGTGGGATACCCACTCCTGAAATCCAGCTAATCCTTACCTTTCTAGCAACAAAGAACTGGCCCCAAGGTTACCCACTCCTGAAATCCAGCTAATCCTTACTTTTCTAGCAACAAAGAACTGGCCCCAAGGTTGTGTTAAATTAGGTTGGAACCCAATAAATGTGAATGTTCTGAGAACTAAAGAAGCTTCTTGAATGAGAAGCAAAACATTTTCAAAGTCCAGTCTTTTGAAAAAAACATCTTTAGGAAAATCATGATCTGGATGATTGAGAACCTCCATAGACCTTGGGGGAATTTGCTTCTTTATTTGACAAAGTGCAGTTCATTTTAGGATTGATGTTAATTGAACCATCTGTCTTATTAGTTGGCTGTGAAGTCAGTGAATATGAAGAAGGGCTTGTCTACCCACTCATTTAGATAAATGTTGTACCAAAAATGCCTGTAGATGTATTATCTTTTCCTCCCTGTTCTTCATGGTAGCTATGCAATCTGCTTCTAGATTCACAGATTCTTCTTCACTATCATTAGATGAACACTGTGAAACAGTTTTTCTTGAGGAATAAGAGCTGCTTACAAAATATACATATTAGGGAATTTAATTGTGATAGAAAAAAGAGATGTAACAAACAAAATGAATGCTGCATGTTCTTTCTCCCTAAGTTTTTGGATATGTTTAGCTTTCAAAATGTACAAACATAGATATTTACATTCTTAGATTACTCATTATAAATGAGTTATTTGTATTCACATATTCATGCTTTTCACTCTTCTTTAGCCAACATATACTTTGTGAGGAAGTATATTGATTTGTATTTATATTAATCTCTCTCTCTCTCCCTCCCTCCTTCTCTCCCTCTCTCTTGTATCTATATCTATTCCTTCTTTCTCAAGATCAACTGTCATTTTTAATGAAGTAACATTTTGTAATTCATATGCTGAAGGAAAAATAAGAAACCAATATAGTTCCAAGACATCTTCATCATATTTCTAAATATTAATACACATGCATTTATTAAAGTTCCACTTGCAAGGAAGAAAATTAGGCAGCGTTATTACTATGAAGCTCAACTATTTGTTAATTCAACAGTCTTATTATTTGGTTTGGGGTTTTGGAATAGACACCTTCATACCCAAGATTAAAGCTGACAATCCTGAAATAAATTTAGCAATATAATAAAATGGAATGGTTAATCTCATGAATGTTTCCTTACACTGCAATAATTTGGGAAGTATTTTATTGGAAGAAGCTGAGTCTCTGCATTCAACTCCCCAAACACACTAAACTGGGTCTTCTGAATACATACAAATTAAGACAAATTTGATTTCACTGAGCCAAACACAGCTGGCATGATTACACAGGCATCAACAGTTAGCCTTGATGACATCAAAATATGAAAGATCTTTTATTGCAACATTACACACAAATACATAAGGGAGGAGTTTGTGTTGTGACAAGGCAATGTCTTCTATACAAGCTGTAGTAATTTACTTTCATTAGAAAGCACTAAAGTGTGATGAATTAATCCATCTTGAGGGATGCATTATTATTTAAATTTTTATTTTATAAAATCCTAGCAGTTTTAACTAAGAAACACTTACACCCCCCCCAAAGCCCTCAAATACAGAGGAAATTATCAAATTATATATTTGTAGCCCAGCTATTTTGTTGGGTTTTGTTCTGTATTCCTCAAAGATCTTAAAACAATTCTGAAAAAAGCTCAGACTTCAGAATCAGTTAAGTGTGAGTGCATGGCAGACATACAAAAGACTCAAAGATGTTTGGCAGTTTACTGTTTAAAATTGCTGGAGGCTGCTTTCCTCGGAACTACTCTAAACATCTGGGTATTTTTGGAAGGGAACAAGCCACGTGAAAAGAGTAAATGATACATTTAGAAACATGGGAAGCTGCCTTACACTGATTCAGATCATTGATCAATTTGACAAGTATTTCTCACAGAGATAGTAGCATGCCAGAATTTCAGGAACAAGTTGCCTGAAAGTCTTCTCTGGAAATGCCAGAAATTGAAACCAGGAGCCTTCTGCATGCAAACCCTTAAAATCATCTCCCAATCTTTATGGATCAAGTCTGATGTAAGAAGGAATTACATCCTTTATTCTGTCCTATAAATTTTTTTATCCAGACAAAAGTATTATTAGGTCAAGCTGCAGAATAGTAACTACTTCTGTTATGGCAATCAGGTAAAACATCTTGCTAAAGAGGCAGAGAATATATACAATATATTCACCTCTTGAAGTATGGGTATGATAATACAGAAATAGCAAAAAACAAGTTCATAAAGCATTGTTAATCCTTGCTGTTGCTGAGTAAATTGTTTATATTAACTGTATTTATTATTCCAACCATTGTGGTTATTAAAGCAATCATAGTCTAAGATTTTCAAAAATTACTGTATTCATAGGAAAGTTAAATTGCATGCTGAAATTTATGAATCCATAACCTGAAACATTCATTTGCATTTTATCCCAGTATAAATTTAAACCAATGATGGCTTATGAAATGTTCATAGTCTAATTAGGAGACCACCATAGCCATATTCCCAGGAGTTGGAACAATGTTCATGTTAGAGTTTGCAAAATCCAACCAGCACACAAGTAAATAATTCAGCAGGATTCATTTATAGAAGAAACTTCTTTATATACAATAATATAAAGCATGATGCATGTATACAATATCCATGCAGCAGAAGCCAGAACCAGAACTCAGTATCCAGAAGCACAGAATCACAGAATCTATAATCCAAGGACAAACTAACTCTTATATACAGACCAGTTAAACTAAGCCACGCTCAGGCTCTGAGCCGTCTCCCATGGCTCATAACAGATCCTGTTTCTTAAGTCACCAAATAGTTCCCATTGGCTGACTTGTTGTTATGGCTATTTAAGCTCATAATTTTTTATACAGACAGTTCATTTCTTCTAAGCTAAAGGATTTTTTAACAATATGAATGGCTCTTTTAGGCATTCCAGAAAAGCCTTTCAAAGGAATTTCTATTATAACGATTGTATTTATATTAAAATTACTCAACAATATACAATCCTTTCTTTTTCTACAGAGAAAGAGCTTAAAAGGACCTAAGAAACAGTAGGA